CCAGTAAATAAGCTAATTAACCAAGTCTCTGGAGCTCTGAGGTGTTAATAAGTTTAAGCATCCCCTTATCATGGGCAGTGCAATCCCTGTGTTTCATATCCCGGTTCTCCAGGTGTTTATTCCGATCCCTCCTCTCTGGTTTGGAGCTTTGTGTGCTGAGTGATACCAAGATATGAAGTAAGGAATGACCTGTCTGTGAATATGCAGATTCCAGCCTAAAAACAAACAAACAAACAAAAAAAGGATTAAGTTGTCAAGGTCAGCAGTGGCTCCAAAATTTGGGGGATATCTGAGGTTCTGGAGCACCTCTGCTATGAAGAAAGGCTGGGAGAATTGGGATCGTTCAGCCTGGACAAGAGAAGGTTTTGGGGTGACCTGATTGTGACCTTTCAGTGCCTGAAGGGAGCTGAGAGGAGAGATGGAGGGAGACTATTTCCAAGGGCCTGGAGGGACAGGACAAGGGGGAATGGCTTTAAGGTGGGAAAGGGGAGATTTGGTTGGGATATTGGGAAGGAATCCTTCCCTGGGAGGGTGGGGAGGCCCTGGCACAGGCTGCCCAGAAAATCTGTTGCTGCCCCATCCCTGGAAGTGCGCAAGGCTGACTTGGAGCAACCAGGGCTAGTGGAAGGTGTTGGAATGAGATGAGCTTCAATGTCCCTCCCAACCCAGGCCATTCCATGATTCTGAGCTGTCACACAACGTTAGGCCTCGTGGATAACAGGGATTTCAGGCTGTTCAGCAGAGCTCTGGTGGGCTCTGGAAGGAGGTGCTTTATTGCTGTGACACAGCTCAGGGCACGCTGTGTGTGAGCACATTCCCACCTCCCACTGCCCTGGTGTGTTCTCTTTAAACCTGCTGCAGTTGCCTCTGTTTGATCCAGGCAACTCTGTAAAGCCTTTTTTTTTTTATATTTTTTCCTGGGACAGAATCCCTCACCTGTTTCAAAACACGTGTAATCGTGTTCAGAAGCACCTCAGAGCACCTGACACCTGCAGCCCTGCAGGCCTCCACATTTTCCAGCCCTGTCCTGCCATCAGCTTGCATAAGGAATAAATTGCCATCCCTCTGGTCCAGTCCAGCCTTGGCAGCCAAATGTGTTATGTATCTTTAGTGGGGATTTCATCTTCCCCTCAAGCTTCTCCTGGCACTGGCAGCTGCCCAGCAAAGCTGTACTGATGGGCCATTACCCCTTTTCAGCATGACAATAATCAATATGGCTTTGTCCTCGCCTGTCACAGGGTGTCACATCCCTCAAGCAGCCAAAAAAGCTCTTTATGGTTTATCCTGACTTTTCTTTTGTGCAGTGGAACTCCAGCTGCTGGGCTGGAATCGAGGGGCTGTGTCCTGCCTGTGTCACCTGCCCCTGTGCCAGCAGAGAGGTCCAGGCACTTTCCAAAAGCACTTGGAATTTTGGAATCGGCCTCTCCCCTTCCCTGGGTGTTGCCAGAGCAGCTCAGACAGGACCCTGTACCCTTCCACCTCAAACCAACATCAGCCCCAGGAAGAAGAACTACACAAAACCCCACATTTCAGGGCTTTGGAAATCGAGGTTTTCCCCCAAAGTTTCTCCCACTTGTACCAGGCAGATTTAACCTTTCCAGGCCATATGCTAGAAACCTGATTTTTCTCATATTTTCCCCTCTCTTTTAAATCTCCTTCCAGGTGTAACTTTTCACTGCAGTGAGCAGAAACCTGACTGGCAGCAGGGAGAGAGGGGGGAACAGCAGGTTTTGTGATGGTTTTGTGATGCCCAGAGTGCTGGGAAGCAGGAGATGAATAGCAGGAGCTGGGATTTTTGAAGAGGAGCTCTGGGGGATTTATGGTGTCAGTCAGTGGGATACTGGCACTCAGTGCTCAGAGAGTGATGCAGAGAATCCCTTCTGCCAGTAAAATGAACAGAGATCCCGTGCTCTCCACTTGATTCACTATTTCAGCAGAGCTGGTCCCAAACCTTTGAAGTCAGTGCAGGTTTCAGGATTGATGGGGGTGGTTTTTTAATGCTCTCCGACCTCGAGGACTTTTTGCAGTGTGTGATAAACTAAATTTTGAGTTTCTATAAGCTTTTGACTAGGAGTTTATTCTATGGGAAAAGTAAAGCAACCATGACAGGGTGACAGAAATGGGGACAAGTTTCCCAAATCTGCACACCTGCTACAGTGTACATTTGGCATTTATCTTAGCTACTTCATGCATATTAATTATACCATAGACATAGACATTTTACAGTTTTTTTGCTAAGTATTTAATATATGGGTTTTCTTACAGCTAAAGTTAAATGGTTATCTCTACAACTGGTCATAATTCACACATTATTGGATGAACAGGCACCTAAAAGATTTTAAGTTCTACCATATTTTATTCTTAGGATAGTAGGGAGGTTTAGGGCCCCTTGACCTTGTAAGGGTCTGTTTTATTTCTTTCTGGGGGTGTAATTAAGTTTTACAATCCCTTTGTTTGATTTGGATGTGATCACCCATTTGTTTCACGCATCGCAGTTATTTCTCGCAAACGGACGATCCGCCGCCTTCCAGGGGAGAAAAAAAAATAAAATAAAAAAAATGGGTAATATCTCCACTTTTCTGCTTGTAGCCATCACTTGTGGCCACCCTGGCAACCCTGCCAACGGCCTGACCCAGGGCACTCAGTTCAACCTCAACGACGTGGCCAAGTTCGTGTGCAACCCCGGCTTCCGCCTGGAGGGAGCATCCCAATCCCAGTGCCTGGCCAACGGCCAGTGGAGCAGCACCCTGCCCTCCTGCCGTGGTGAGTGCTCCAGGAAAACTGGGGAGGGCAGGGCTGGGCCTTCCTCCCTGGCTTCTCTGAGTTCCTAAACCCCAGAAATTCCCATCGGCTGAACCTCGGGAGTGTCCGAGCGATGCCCGAGCTCCGAGGGCCGGGGGGAATCTCATGGAACAAAGCTGGTGTTTTACCCTGGGGCTTTTCTCTGGCATCCTCCAAGGCATTGAGGTGTGGGTGGTAAGTGGGGAGGACACCAGGAAATCCCAGCTCAGCCCTGGTGACCCCAAAGCAGTTTTACTCCAACCCCCCCAGTTTTGTGCAGAGCCCTTTTTTCCTTCTGGGCTGCCCAACTTCCACTGGGATCAGCACTGAGGTTCACTTATCAAATTCCCTCCCCTCCCTGCACTCCCTCCCTCTGTGCTCCCTCAGTCCAGTATCTCTGTCAATGCTGTTGCTGTGTCAGTCAAAGAATTGGTTATTCCCAACTGGAGAATGTATGTCCCATTTTTGGGATCACTTTATTCCTAATTGGGTAATGCACACCACAGTTTGGGATCACTTACTCCTAACTGGAGAATGTATCTCCCAGTTTGGGATCACTTTATTCCTAATTGGGTAATGTACATCCCAGTTTGGGATCATTTATTCCTAACTGGTTAATGCACATCACAGTTTGGGATCACTTACTCCTAACTGGTTAATGTATGTCCCAGTTTGGGATCACTTATTCCCATCTGGTTAATGTATGTCCCATTTTGGGATCACATATTCCTAATTGGGTAATGTATGTCCCAGTTTGGGATCATTTATTCCTAATTGGGTAATGCACATCCCAGTTTGGGATCACTTATTCCTAATTGGGTAGTGTACATCCCAGTTGGGATCATTTATTCCTTACTGGTTAACACACGTCCCAGTTTGGGATCACTTAATTGGAGAATGTATGTCCCAGTTTGGGATCACTTATTCCTAACTGGTTAATGCATATCCCACTTTAGGATCATTTATTCCCAACTGGATAATGCGCGTCCCCGTTTGGGACCAGAGATCCAGGCTCTGCTGCTGAGCCTTGCATGGCCAGATGAGCCCCTGCAGCATTGCCTTGACTCTCTTTTTCCTTGAAATAATCATCTTTTTTTTCCTATTTCCAAAGAATCTCAAAACAAAACAAAAGACCGGGAGGGGGCGAAAAAAAACCCCTTTAACTCGCAGCATGTGTGATTTGCAGTTTTCCCCCTTTTCCCTGCTCTTTCCTGGAGAACCCTTTGGCTCTGTCACCCCCTTTGGTTTGTGCCATGATGGTTTTTTTATTGTTTGTTTGCAGTTGTAAACTGTACTGACCCCGGGCACCTGGAAAACAGCGTCCGGCAAGTGCAGCCCAGCGGGCCCCACAGATTCAGCTTTGGAACAACTGTGTCCTATCAGTGCAGCCATGGATATTACCTGTTGGGGACACACGTCCTCACCTGTCAGGGGGATGGCACTTGGGACCGTGCCCTCCCACAGTGTCTTTGTAAGTGCTCCAGAACAATCCAGAACAATCCAGAACAATCCCACCCACCCCGGGGCTGCAGCCTGACGAGTTTCTTGTTGCTCAGCTCAGTGTCAAAACCTTGGGAATCCATGGGAATCCTTCTGTCAGTAGGCTCCAGGTCCTGCCCAGGTGTGTGAGGAGAGAGATCCCGTTGGAGGTGGTTTCCCTCTGCAGGGGAAGGCAGAGCCCAGTGGGTTTTCCTGGTTCTGAGCAGCTCCGGCCGAACCAGGGCAGGGGGAGAAGGGCAAAAGCACCTCTGGAGGAGCAAAAACCTGCCTGGGGAGGAACCTGCAGCTCACCTGGGTGGGGACACACCCCTGAGTGAGGTGACACCCCTGAGTGAGGTGACACCTGAGTGGGGACACACTCCCACTCATCCCCAGGGCTTTCGGGGAGGGAGATGACACCGAAGGAAACACAGAATAAATTCCTTCTGCTGCAGAGCAGGTGCTGAAGAGCATTTGCTTCCTCACCCTTGCTCTGGTTTTATCCCTTTTTTTTTCCCCCAGGATCCTGGCCCTTTCTGCCACTGGGGTTGGGTTGGGATTGGGAGGTTCTGGGTGATGGTTTGGCTTTGTGGGAAGACACAGAATCCTCTCGTGGAACACCCAGGCCAGGAGGTCTCCATGGATTGTGGGAGGATGTCAGTGGTGATGTCCCCATGTCCCCTTTCCTACACTGGGAGAAATCAAGATCCAAAGTGTGTCTTAGTTGCCCAGTGAGCTGGTTTTGCAGGCAGGACCCACCCCCCCAGCACAGCCAGTTTGTCCCTTTGGACCCAAAACCAGCTGCAGTCCCATTCCCTGGATAAGGAATGGCCACGGAGCTCCTGGAATCTGAACTGGCTGAAGCTGTTCCAAAGCCATGGCTGATTCTTTTTTTCCCCCCTGTATTACCCCTCCACACCTGGCCATGCAAAGGAGTTTTGGGCACATTTTCCTTTCCTTCTGTGAGCAGCATGTCCCGTCCTCACCCTGCAGACCCTGCACAGGCCCTGGGGGAATTGAGAAGTGACATCCCCTGGTACCACAGCTTGGGGGGCTCCAGGGGGGAGGATTTACCTGTTAAAAACCTAGAGCCTGATATCCCTCAGCCAGCTGAGTGCCAGGGATCTCCTGCCTTAAAATGCTGAGCGTGACTTGGAGGATTTGTGGGCGCTCTCAGAGCTTTGGAAGCTCCGGGTCGGTTTTACGACCGAATGTGTGGGGTTAAAAAAAAAAACCAGAGATTTTTGCATGTCTTTGTTTTCTGTGCACTGAGCTTTTCTCTGAGGGCACTGAGGCCCTGGCACAGGTCGCCCAGAGAAGCTGGAAGCGTCCCAGGCCAGGTTGGAGCATCCTGGTCTCCGATGGAAGGTGTCCCTGCCCGCGGCGGGGGTTGGAGTGAGATGGTCCTTGAGGTGCCTCCCAACCCAACCCACGCTGTGGGGCTGAAGCTGTCGCCTGTGTCTCCTGCAGTGGTGTCCTGTGGCCACCCCGGGTCCCCTCCCCACGCCCAGATCTCGGGGGACAAGCACACCGTGGGCTCCGTGGTGAGGTACAGCTGCCTCGGGAAGCGGACGCTGGTCGGGAATTCCACGCGGATGTGCCAGCTGGACGGGCGCTGGAGCGGGGCCCTGCCCCACTGCTCAGGTGAGGGGCTGGCCAGGGAGGGCGTGGGGCATTCCCAGCACATTCCCAGACATTGGAGAGTGTCCAGGGGAGGGCAACAAGGTTGGGAAGGGCCTGGGTTTGGAGCCGCGTGAGGACACTGAGGGCACTCGGTGTGTTCAGCTGGGGAAGAGGAGGCTGAGGGGAAACCTCACTGCAGTTCCAGCTGCCTGGGCAGGGGCAGAGGAGGGGCAGGGACTGAGCTCTGCTCTGGAGGGACCAGGGACAGCACCCAGGGAAGGGCTGGAGCTGTGTCAGAGCAGGGTCAGGTTGGATCTCAGGATAAGGTGGGTGGTTGGCACTGCCCAGGCTCCCCAGGGCAGTGGGCACAGCCCCGAGGCTGCCAGAGCTCCAGGAGGGTTTGACTGATTCTCTGGGGCACAGGGGGTGACTCTTGGGGATGGTCCTGTGCAGGGCTGAAGGTTGGACAGGATGATCCTTGTGGGTCCCTTCCAATTCTGTGCTTCCATGATCATCCTCCAGCCCTTTTACCCTGTGAGGGGGCACCTGAGGGGCTCTGAGCTGGTGAAGCCCCCCTGGTACAGAAGGAGGTTGTGCCTGAGCCACTCAGCCTCCTGCACCTTGGCTGATCAGCACTGGCAGGGAGTGAAGCTCTGGGCTGGCAGGAGGAGGAATAAATCCCTGCAGCCCATGGCTGTGCTGGGAGGGAGCTGCAGCTGCTGCTCAGGAGTTCTCCCTGCAGAGCCCAGGCAGGAGGGACGTGTCGGATGCAAAATTGGGTCCTTCCACCCTGTCTGCACCATCTGACCCTCTTCCCTGTGCTCTCCAATAAAAGGAACCCACATGGCCTCTTTCCAGGGCCTGACATCTGCTGTTGCAGCAGCCCCAGGCCTGCAGGAGGCAGGTGGAAGCTGGAGCGATGAGTTTCCACCTCATCAGCATCTCCACAGAGAGCAGTTTGGCAGCAGAAGTCCCTTCCCCGATCCTGAGTGAGGAAGGTCTTGCCCTGAGAACGTCCTAATAATGCAGAAAAAGTCCCTGATGCAACAGATTTGGGTCAAGATCCCGGGGGATGCAGTGAGATGTGCTGAAATGGGGGTCTGGTGGTCTCCAGCAGAGGGAAGGGTGCTGGGTGACTGGTTTGGGTGCCTTCCCATCCCTTGTTCCTTGGACAACACACGGGATGTGACATAATGAGCAAAGACCTCAGGACGAGTGTTAATTTTTAATAATGCCACTTAGATTCAGCAGCACCACTTGACCAAGTTTAACCTCTGATTTGGGAGGGGAAGGGAAATGGTTTGGAGTCATCCTGGTGCTCAGAATTCCTGCTCTGGAGCTGCTCAGGAGGGTTTTCTGCTCCAGTTCGTGCCTTTTCCCCATGTAGTTCTTCCTCACCATCTCCTGTCATCTCTGTGGGTGGATTTTTGGGAACACTCAGCTTTGTTCTGCCTGGTTCCTACTGACACCTGCCGTGTGGGGGTTTTGCTGAATGACTTCTTGGAGGCTGATAGCCCTGAGGGGGGTGCTGGGTGGATGGCCAGGATCCCAGAACCATCATTTCCACCCCAAGGGCTTGGAGAGAGGCTCCTCCTTCCCACCAAAGTCAGGTGGAGCAGTTAAAGAAGCAGGGAGGAGGCAGAGCAGAGCTCGGGTCTCCTGCCAAAGGATCCCCACGGTGTGACAGCACTTTTTGTGACATGAAACAAAAGACTTGGGCACGAGTGAAAGGAAATGTTGGACCTGGAGCATTCTGCCCCTTCTGTGCCCGGGGAAGTTCATTCCCCACATGATGAATGTGCTCATTATGTTCTGTGTCACACGGAGCAGGGGCTGGACCTGCAGTGAGGGGGCACTTCATCACCAGCTGCCCCAGGGAAATGGGCTCTTCTGGCCTGGGGAGGGGATGTGTTCACACAGATTGGTGGTGGAGCAAGCCAGGAACACGGTGCAGGCAGCAGGGGGGTGGGAATCCCTCCAGCCTGCTCCGGGGAACCCCTGCCAGGCGCCTGCTCCAGCTGCTCCCCGACTCCCAGCTCTGAGCATTCCCAGCCTGCAGGAGTGGATGTTTCTCCCCCTCTGTGCTCCAAACCCACCACCTCCTGTTCTGTGAGTACAGTGGGGTGTGCTGGAGCACGCTGGAGTTCTTGCTTGGAGGGAAAGCAACCCCAGAATCACAGAATGGGACCCCCAAGGATCATCAAGTCCAGCTGCAGGCCCTGCACAGGACCGTCCCCAGGAGTCACACCGTGTGCCTCAGAGCATCCACATGATTGATGCTGGAGCAGCAGCTGCCACCAGAAGCAGCTGCAGCTGGTGGAAGCTCCGTCCTGGCATTCAGGAGTCATGGTTTGCAACAAGCTTCAAACCAGTGAGCTCCTGGAGTGGGGGGGGAGGATGGTTCCATCTGGAATTCCTGCAGCCAGCCAGAGTTAAATTCCCCTTGGAGGGGGGGAAGAAGGTCCAAACCCATAAACCCATCACGTGCTTGCTCTCTCTGCACAGGGGACAGCCAGGGCGTGTGTGGTGACCCAGGGATCCCCTCCCATGGCATCGGGCTGGGGGACACCTTCGACGTGGGCAGCGTGGTGCGGTTCAGCTGCGAGCCCGGCTACACCCTGCGTGGCTCCTCCGACAGGACCTGCCAGGCCAACGGCTCCTGGAGCGGCACCCAGCCCGAGTGTGAAGGTATTGGCACCTCCCCAGCCCCCTGGGTGTCCCCACAATCACCCCAGAATCACCCCAGCATCACCCCAGCCCGACCCCTCTGCCAGCAGGGTGGGTGCTGGAACAGTGCGACCAACAGATCCAAGGAAGTGATTCTTCCCCTGGACTCAGCGCTGGTGAGGCCACCCCTGGAGTGCTGTGTCCAGTTCTGGGCCCCTCAGTTCAGGAAGGACATTGAGGTCCTGGAGCAGGTCCAGAGAAGAGCAACAAGGCTGGGGAAGGGACTATGAGGAGAGGCTGAGGGAGCTGGGGCTGTTCAGCCTGGAGAAGAGGAGGCCCAGGGGAGACCTTTTTTTTGGTGTCAGAACTCTGGGTGCCATTAATTCCTTGTTGCCTTGTGGGGGAAATTCAGCAGAATGAGAGAAACACCAGCAGCTTCCACCCTCCCTCAGAGCTGGAACTGGCACATGCAAGAGTCATTTCCATTCAGCAGAAATGCAAAATGCAAATTATAATCCAGTAAGCACATTTTTTGTGTTTGAAAGCCCCAAACCCCTGATTTTTCCATTTGAAGGAATCAAGTAAGACCCTATAAGCCAATAAATAATCCCCTCACTGGATTCTCTGGGCCGTGCTGCTCCCTGCTACTGTTTCAGACAAGTGTTTAAAAACCAGCTGGGGGAAGAGCAAAAGCCAAAAATGAGGCAGGAGACCAAGTGCAAGGAGACCTGGGCAAGTGCTTCTCTCCAGCTGTTTCAGAAGCCAAAAAGCTTAGAGAGAGTTTGCAAATGAATTGGAAATTTATTCCAAATTGATGGTGCTCTTGATTGAAAAGACACTGAATGATGTTATTAATACACTCAGATCTCAGGGTGGGGTTTTTTTTCTCCACTCTCTGTTTTTTTCTGTTAGTGGGAAGGCTCTGCTCATTAATCTCAGGATAAATAACCCATCAGGTTCCAGAGGCACTGAAATCCAGATCCCTGGCAGATTTTTTTCCCACACTTTATGAATAATAATAACATTATGCCTATAATGTAGTCACTTAATGTTAAGTGCTGACTGGCCAGTGTAGGGGAGTGATGCCCAGGGATGAGCTGGTCCCTGTCATTTGTATTCACCACGAGTCCCAGGTTCTCTGGCTGCACTTTGAGTGGTGTATTCAGCCCTCTGGAACAGGTATTTATAGGAGAGGGAGAGGGGAGTTGGCTTTGGGGTGAATTCCTGGCAGTTGGAGGTGAAGGCTGAGTGCCCAGGAGGGTCCTGGGGAGGAACGGGCACCTCGGTGGTGCATTAACTGGGACTGAGCTGTGGGTTTGCTGCTCCCAGCTCCCAAAATGGAGCAAAATCAAGGCTGATGGTGCTTCACAGGTCACCAGAGAGTTCATGGAAATGGGCACAGAGGGGCTCAGCCCGAGCAGCAGGAGATGGGGACCCACAGCACAGGGACATGGAAGTGCCTGTGGACACAGTGCAAATCCAACAGCAGGGAGGAAGGGAGAGAAAAGCCCTTATGTGCATTTCAGAGAGGGTAAGATCCTCTAACAGCTTCAATTCCAAAGGATCTGCCTGACTTAGGGAGCTGATGTTGCACCATCAGTGTCCTCCTGCACTGGGACCAGTCCAGGGTGTGTGGGGTCACCTTGGAACTCCTCAGCTCCGGATCTCGTACCTTTTACCCACTAAAACATCTTCTAAGGGAACCAAAGGAACAGGGGGGCAGGAAGAAGTCCCAACTGCTTTTCCCAAAATGGACAAATGGTTTGGAGTGGACTGAGATGAGTTGTAGGGGCTCTGCCTGAGCCTCCTGCTTCGCCCGGGATTATGGAGCTCTGCTTTTGTTGTGCTCAGCAAGAGCAGCTTTCCAAAATGGCAGATTTCAGGCCTCATTTAGCTTTAATTTCCAACAAATTTTAAAGTGTAAATGTAATTTTAGATGGGTTTTTTTTTTTCCTCCTTTTTCCTCCCTCCTGGTGCCCTGTCTGTGTTCGCCGAGGAGGGATGCAGGAAGGGGCTCACAGTTGTACTCTACACTCCCTCCTCCTCTTAAAAGCTGAGCAGAATATTTGCTTTTATAGTGTTTGTTGTTTCTCCGAGGGAATTAAAACTGCATCCAAAATGAGTCAGGGCTCTGGCTGCTCTTTGGCAGTTTCAGTTGAGAGAAATGATTTATTTTAAGCGATAACAGTGGGAAAAGGAGCAGAGTTTTGTCTGCTGCTCATTTGACTGCTGAGGACATGGGAGGTGGCAGGGCTGGGATTCGGGTCTAGACTGTTTTATTCTTCCTCTCTCTGCATAGCTGGGTGGGTTATGGGGTTACTGGTGAAATTAAACAGCCTGGAAATTACCAGCCCTGAAGGAAAGGCTTTGAGACTCCACGAGCCCTGAGCTGTGCCTCCTTCCAGCAGGAGGCTCTGCTGATGTGTCAGACATCATTAGGAGAGTGTTTGGGATGGGAGCAGAGCCTGAAAGGAGAACTGGGGGTTATGAGGAGCAGCTCAGAGGAAGGGGGGACATGCAAAGGACACAGGGCTCACATGTCACCTCAGTGACAGGCACTGGCTGCTCCTCAGACCCCTCTCACCATGTCCAGGGGGGGTTTTCTGGGCAGAGTGAGGGGAAATGAAATGTTTCAGGAGTACCAGCACTTGCTCCTTGCCCTGCTCAGGGTCCTGGGGGGGGCAGCTCAGTGGCCTCGTCTGAGCATCGTCTGAATGTGCCTGATCAGGGCCCAGAGAAATTCCCTTCTCCCAGCAGCTTATCCCTGTAAAACTCGCAGGAAACAGCAAAGGGAGGCAAGGGGGAAACCTGAAAGCTTTTCAGAAAATGGATGTGTGTGGATTGGAACCGATTAATTATTGCTGAGCTCTGGAGCACCTCTGAGCTGGGATGTTTTCTATAGCAGAGGCACTTTGGAACAGGCTGGAGCTTCCCAGATTCCCCCTGCAGTGGGGGATCAGCTCTGGTTGTTGTCAGGGGTCCCACTGTCCCTGTTTGCAGCCCCCCCCTGCCCCGTGGCCTCAGAAACTATTTTTTTTTTGCTGTTCCTAATTCATTTTACACCTCCCACTGCAGCTAAAGGGAATTATTTACCCCCTCACTGCTCTCTTGCATGATTAGATCCTACTGATATTTAAATTGCTGTTTCAGACATTCAATCCTTTCATCCTTGTATTTATGACTTCTCTTCTGTCTGGCCCATGCAGGTCCCAGCTGATCCAGGCTGCCATTAAACCATTCCCACGAGTCCCCTCCTGGTCCCAAAAGTAATAATTTGGGGGGTTGTCCATGTGCATTTTTGGCCACACTAATAAGTGGAGGAGGGTGGGCAGGAGGGAACTGATGGATGGGCAGGCAGTGAAATGGTAATTCAGAGCTTTTTTTCCGAGGTGATGGAATCTGACTTTTATCCCAGCATCTCTTGGAAATGACATTGGAATCCATAACAAGCTCCACCTCGGGAGCCACGCCGGGCTGTGTGCACACAGCCCAGAGCAGTTATTAGTTTCCTCCTGTCAGACAGATCTGCCTCCAAGCAGCTCCTGTGTTAACAGGCTGTCAGCAAACCCAGCAACAAGAGGGGAAGGCTCCTCTCCTCGCCTTGGTGGGCTGTGCTCGTTGCTTCCCTGCTGAGTTTTGTGCTTCCCCATGGAGAACAAGTGGAAAAACTGGAGTGGGTGGGCCAGGGAGGGCCCAGGATGGGTCACCTTGGATGCTCTCACAGAGGTTTTGGTGTGTTGCTGGGGAAGGGGGCAGCCAGGAGTGTTCTGGGATTTGTGGTTGAAGCCTTTCCTTGATCCATGTGATTTTCTTTTGGGTGCTGTAATTTTGGGGCTGGGGGCAATTACTGCAGGTGCTTATTTTGTCCTGGCAGGACTCTGTGCTCCACCATCCCCAGGCCTTTTTGTTCCTTGGTGGGCTGTGCTCGTTGCTTCCCTGCTGGAGTTTTGTGCTTCCCCTGTGGAGAACAACTGGAAAAACTGGAGTGTGTGGGCCAGGGAGGGCCCAGGATGGGTCACCTTGGGTGGGCACAGTGATGCTCTCAGAGGTTTTGGTGTGTTGCTGGGGAAGGGGGCAGCCAGGAGTGTTCTGTGATTTGTGGTTGAAGCCTTTCCTTGATCCATGTGATTTTCTTTTGGGGGCTGGGGGCAATTACTGCAGGTGCTTATTTTGTCCTGGCAGGACTCTGTGCTCCACCATTCACTCCCAGGCCTTTTTTGTTCCTGGGGTGCTGAGGCACTTCAGCCATAAAACTTGGGCACTGCCAATCCTGTAATTGTATTCCCAGGATATTCTCCCTCCTCTGAAGGGATAATTGGATCTGGCTGGGCAGTGAGCAGTGCCACAGTGGGAGGGCAGCAGCCTCCCTTACTGCTCTCCTTCCTTTGAATGCTGCACAGTTGTTGACATCCCAACATTAGGACTTGGCCTCTGATCCTCGTGGGTCCCTTCCAACTCAGGATATTTTAGGATCCCAAAGGCAAAGGATCCCAAACACTCCAGGCTCCCAAACTCCTGGAACGTGGAGGGACTCCAGGCTTGGCACCACTGCTTTGTAGGACCACGAGGTTGATTATTGCAAGATAATGGACATGAGTCCATCAGGCAGGGGAGGATTCTCCCAGGCAGGGCTGGAGCTTCAGGGACTGAGGGGATGCAGGGACAGAGTGTTTTCCAGTCCCCTGAGAGAGATGCAGGTCCTTGGCAAGGCAGAGCCCTGCTCTGAGCTGGGGAGTGCTTTGGGGATCCTGTTGGGTTGATGCAGCTGCTTTTCCATGGAACAGCCCCTTCCCTTCTGAGCTGATCCAGCAGCTCTGCAGCACATCTTGCTTTTCCTGAGAACAGTTCACTGCAGGGGGAAAACCTCGTTTTTTGGAGGGGTCGTTTGTGTTTTGTGGTGGGGTTTTTTTTGTAAACTTTGCCATTTTGCTTTCCAGTGATATCCTGTGGGAACCCAGGGACCCCCAGCAATGCCAGGGTCATCTTCAACGACGGCCTGGTCTTCTCCAGTTCCATCATTTACCAGTGCAGGGAGGGCTATTACTCCACAGGGGTGCTGAGCAGGCACTGCACCGTGAACGGGACGTGGACTGGGACCAGTCCGGAGTGCACAGGTGAGCACTGGGATAGATCCCTGGGGGATGAGGGCCCTGGGGAGGTGGTGTCTGGGCTCACTGTAGCGTGTGTCACCCTGAGGAACTGTGCTGAGCTGTGCCCTGGCAGCAGCAGAGGCTCAGCCCGTGCTCTCTGCCGGTGCCTAATGGAAAAGTCGTGCTTGGAGTTTGTTCTCTTCCAGTTGGATGAAGGGAGCCCTGTAATAATTCCGTGAGTAGATGTTGGCCAGCCTCGAGGGGCTCTCTGGGGCTGCTCCTGAACGTGAGAGTTCCTGGGAGGAGCCTGAGCAGAGCCCTGCTCAGCAAAGCCTCGGGGAAGGGGGTTGTGTTTCCTGCAGAGGAACGTGGACGGGGCCAAACGTGGCCTTACATAAGAGGCAGTAACTGGGCTGAAGAGGGGGGGACCTGCCTTCCCCCAGCCAAGACCTGACCTGGGTTTGCTTTAATGTTTAATGTGTGTTAATACAGCTTCTTGCAAGGTCTTAATGTGCCATTAAGGTCCCTGCTCACTCCACTGAGGACAGGCACAGCCAGCACATGAGCCAGAGTGTGCCCAGGTGGCCAAGAAGGCCAATGGATCCTGGCCTGGCTCAGGAACAGTGTGGCCAACAGGGCCAAGGAAGTGATTCTTCCCCTGGACTCAGCACTGGTGAGGCCACCCCTGGAGTGCTGTGTCCAGTTCTGGGCCCTCAGCTCAGGAAGGACATTGAGGTCCTGGAGCAGGTCCAGAGAAGAGCAACGAGGCTGGGGAAGGGACTGGAGCACAAGTGCTGTGAGGAGAGGCTGAGGGAGCTGGGGCTGTTCAGCCTGGAGAAGAGGAGGCTCAGGGGAGACCTCCTCACTCTCTGCAACTCCCTGACAGGAGGGGGGAGCCAGGGGGGGGGTTGGTCTCTTTTCCCAGGCAACTCTCAGCAAGACAAGAGGGCTCAGGGTCTTCAGCTGTGCCAGGGGAGGTTTAGGTTGGATATTAGAAAGAATTTCTTTGCAGAGAGGGTGATCAGCCATTGGAATGGGCTGCCCAGGGAAGAGGTGGATTCTCCGTCCCTGGAGGTTTTTAAGATGAGACTGGATGTGGCATCAGTGCCATGGGCCGGGAACCACAGCAGGGTTGGATCAAGGGTTGGACTTGATGATCTCGGAGGTCCCTTCCAACCCAGCTGATTCTATGATTCTATGATTCTCCACGTGCTGGAGCCTGACCCCCTCCATGTGCCGTGTGCTCCAAACCCTCCCTTGCCCACGGCCAGCTGACACATCCTGCCTGCCCAAAGCTCTCAGGACCATCAGGTGTCTCATTCAGGCAGATTCAGAGGTGTGAGGGGAGGGATGGGCAGCCAGAAATGCTCCTCTCCCTGTCTTGGGCAGTGATCAACTGTGGTGACCCCGGTGTGCCGGCCAACGGCGTCCGCCTGGGCTCCGACTTCACCTACAACCAGTCCGTGGTGTTCCAGTGCACCCCCGGCTACATGATGGAGTCAGACAGGGCCTCCTCCCTCACCTGCACCAAGGACCGCACCTGGAATGGCACCAAACCCGCCTGCAAGGGTAAGGAAGGGTCCCCAGGCCACCAAAGTTTTGGGGAGGAGGTAAAAAAGTAGCGGCGACTTCTGCGTCGCGCCCGGAGCCCCCCGGGCGCTTCTCTGGGCTCTGTCGTTCCATCTATCCCCTGTTTATGGCACTTGCACCATCTATCACGTTTTTTAGCATGAAAACCTTGCTATCTTTAGGCCCATCAATCACCACACTGTGCCTGGGAGGGAGGCAGCTGCTCTTACCTGTGTGGTGGAGAGGGAAGAGCGAAGCCCAGGGAGCAAAGTGACTCCTTCCTCTTCACAAAAACTCAGATCAAACTCCCGTGAAATATTGTGTTTTGCAAGCACACGCTCCTTGGCATCGTCTGGAATCATCTGAAAAATGTTTCCTCTGAGCCTTTTTATTATTTCTCTGTTCTGAGATTGTTCCTGTGGTTCAGAGATAGAAAAAGGAAATAATAAAGCAGTTGCTGGGCAGGCTGGATCTCTTCTGTGAGTGTTTTACTCACCCACCAAGCGCAGATAAGACTTGTAGCAGCATCTGTGCACTTCTTTAGCAATCTGGAAAATTCACCTGTCATCATGCTGATACAAATACAGACCACAGAGGAACTTTATAATGCACTGCAGCTCCTTCAGAGGCTGTAAAGAGCAATTCTTACGCTGCTTTTTCATTCTCTGCACTGAGCTAATGCCGCAGGAATAATCCAGAACGTGGCCAAGAGTCATGTTTGGAGGCCAGGCTGATTTGCACAGATTTAGCATCTTTCCCAATGCTCCCCTGAGCTGAAAAGCAAAAGCACTGCAAAAATGTCATATTAAAACAGCCCAGAGTGGATGAAATACCGACAGGTTGTTGATCTGAAACTCAGCCAGGTTGTCCAAAACGTATCAATCTCCCAGGGAATCCGAGATGAGTTTTCACACCAAGTCAGGGCAGGTTCTTCCCTTCAGCTGGAAATGAAGTGACTCTGATTTGGAGAGAGAGATCAGGGAAAGGTTCTTCCCCCAGAGGGTATTTGGGCACTGTCCAGGCTCCCCAGGGCAGTGGGCACAGCCCCAAGGCTGCCAGAGCTCCAGGAGGGTTTGGATGATCCTCTGAGGGACAGGGTGGGATTGTTGGGGGGTGTGTGCAGGGCCAGGGGTTGGATGGATGATCCTTGGGGGTCAGCATTTTCCATGATTTGGTTAACTCCAAACTTCAAAGTAAAACCCCGGAGTTTTCACCCCAGTCTGTGCCATGTATATACTTCCCCTTTTCCCCTATAGAAGCTTCTTGCCTGAAAGTTTCTCTTTGGTGTCGAGATAAAATTATGGGAAAGGGTGGGGGAAGCCTGGAAATTAGATATTAGATTTTTGTGGTGGCTCAAACCACCACACCAGGAGATGCCCTTGGAGGGCAGGACGTGGCTTTGACCCTACATGACCACGATGGGAACTGAGCCTGCTTTTGTCCTTTGTCTCCCCCCACAGCCATCACCTGCAGGGCCCCCCAGGCCATTCCCAACGGGAAGGTGGTGGGCTCGGATTTCAGCTGGGGGTCCAGTGTGAGCTATGCCTGCCTGGAGGGGTACCAGCTGTCCCTGCCTGCCGTGCTGACCTGCGAGGGCAACGGCACCTGGAGCGGGGACGTCCCCCAGTGCTTCCGTGAGTAGGAGCCCACCCGGGAGGATCCTGCCCCAAACCCGCTGCTTTGATGCCCTTTCCATCCTTTCCAAACCCTGCCTGGCTGGTTTTAATAGCTGGTTTTAGTGGCTGGTTTTAGGGCTGGTTGTAGGGCTGGTTTTGGTGGCTCTGCTGTGCCAGGGTCAGGGGATGGAGGGGCCCTGCTGTGCCTCCTGCCCCGAGCCCAGGGGAGTTTGAGCAAGAACTGAAGCCAGCGGGGATTTTTTGTGCTGTGGTGATGCCTAAAGTGCCTCTGCCTCAAGGTCTGAACGCCCTGCCCCATCTCCCACAGCAGCCAGGTTGCTGGGGGCACTGGTTTGGTGGTTTGACCCTGGGGACACGGTGGGTCACCTCTGCAACACTTGGAACAAACCTGAGGATTTTCCTCAAATCTGGGTGTTTGTCCAGTGTCTCCTCAGTGGCTGGATCTGCTCCTGGAACTGCCAAAGGCCGTGAGGAAAAAGCCTTTGGCCAAGAGCTCTGTGTGGCAGCAGAAATTGGGAATGTTTTGTGAGGGCTGGGTGGAAACCTGTGTGCCTGACACAGGAACTGATGCCAAAAACTGCCAGTTCAATGTCTCCTAATGCCAAAGGCAGCTCCGAGTTCCTTTTCCAGAGGCTGGCAGCTGCACAATAGCCATTTTCATATTAAATCACACGAAGCCCTCCCTGTGTTCCTTGCACCTTTCCCTGGATCCTGGATAATTAGTGTGACACAGAACCAGGTAGCAAAGTGACATGATGCAATTAGGGAGACATTGGGAGGCTAAGCCTGCCATTAGGGGGGAAAAAGAGAGGAAGAAAGGGAAAAGATGGGGGAGAAGGTGCAAGTTAATTAGCAGGACTACAAGGAGAGCAGCCAGTCATGGATTTGGTGGCAGGGTTTGGGCCGTTCACAGACCTGTCTGTAGCTTATTAACACTCCTTTCTCCTGAGGAGGAGGTTCATGGCCATCCTGTTGTCCCTTTGCCCGTTCCAGCCGTGTTCTGTGGTGACCCAGGGACCCCAGCCCAGGGCAGGAGGGAGGACAGAGGCTTCACCTATCGCTCCTCCGTGTCCTTCTCCTGCCTGGCCCCGCTCGTGCTGGTGGGCTCAGCCCGGAGGTTCTGCCAGTCTGACGGGACGTGGAGTGGGACCCAGCCCAGCTGCATAGGTAAGGGAAGAGCTCTGGGCCCTCACCCAGCTCCCCTGGCTTTCTTTTGGTTCTTTTCTTTTTGGTTTTCTTCTCTGAGTTTGCAGAAATGAGCATTTTGTTGCCCTGAAAGTGGGGATGTGAAGGGACGATGCTTTTGGTTTGTGGGTGCTGGCTGATTAACAACCCATCTCCTCCTCCTCACTGCTTAGATTCCCATCCCTGGCAACATCCAAGGCCAGGCTGGAGCAACCTGGTCTGGTGCAAGGTGTCCCTTGCAGTGGAACTTGATGATTTTCAAGCTCCCTCCCAACCCAAACCTTCCTGGGGCTCAGTGCTGTGGGCAGGGACCAAACTCCCCCAGCTTGCTTTGCCTTGGGATTCAGGCTGACATTTCCACACCTTCCTCAGGTGCTCATCTTGAACCCTGGGACACCTCTGGGAGGTCTGTAACCAGAATTGCTCCCAGCATTCTGGGCCTGTTTGAAGCCCTGGCTGCACTCCTGACCTGCAGGGCTGCTGTGGGGATACAGGGCACGAGCTGTGCTGGTCCCTGGACACCACCACCATCCCCCCATATGGGCAGGTGGGGAGAAACACATCCATGGGGCTGTTCCCCGTGGATTTCAGTCCTTCTGGTTCCATCCTGAATGCACCACCAACTACAGGAATGTAAAAAGACTCACAGCCTGAACCTCCAAATGGTTTCACCAGGAGCTTTCTCACATCCAGGGCGTGGAAAGCACCTGCTCCTGTGCTGGAATTATTGGATTGGAATGCTTCAGTGCTTCCTTGCAGATCCTTGTCTGGGATCCTGTGTGGGACCCAGAGCTGTTGGGGGGCTGAACCAGCCAACCCTGTTCCTGCTGCTGAGGGAACGTGCTGAGGGTCTGTCTGCCCAAAGCACCCACAAGGAAGGAGATTGGATATTAGGGAAAATTTCTTTGTGGGAAGGGTTTCCAAGCCCTGGAACAGACTGCCTTGGGGGGGGATTTAAAACCCAAAATGTAGGTATGGCATTCGGGGACTTGGTTTAATGCCAGTCCAGTTGGACTCAATGATCTTTTCAAGGTCTTTTCCAACCTTAATGGTTTATTGATCCTGTGAAAGGAAAAGAATTGTGTGTCTGCAAAACCTCACCCCAGAATGGCAGTTTGTGACCCAAGCACCTCTACCCCAAGTGCTGTATTTATTCAGATCTCACCCATTTTTGGATGCTTTGAGCTTCCAGCACCCAAACCTTGCCCAGGCACAGCCAGGAGGCCAAAGCTCTGCCCTCATCCATCACCCTGTGCCTCCCCCAGCCACGGGGCTCTTTCTTTCTTTATTTTCCAGGCAGTGATTTATCAGGGGGCTCCCATGGAAACTGCAGCAGTGACAAATGACAGCAGCTTCAGCAGAGCCAAAGGATGGGGAGATGAATTAGCCCCAAATCAGCCACGTTCTGTGGCCCTTGTTTAGTCACTCAGCACATCCCCAGGGCCTGGAGACAGCGCCGTGGCCGTGGGAAGGGACTGATGAGTCACATCCTGAGGAATAAAGGCCTAAAAATAACCAGTGGGAGCAGAGAAGTTGTGCTCTGCTCTCCTCTGGCTGCAGGCTGGTGGCAGCCACTGTTGGCTTTGGGAGGACTTAGTTTATTCCTTATTTTCCACAGTCCTGTAATGGGGATATTTTGAGAGGCATCGTGGTGAGCGAGTGGAAGAAGGAAGGCTGGGAATCCTGGGATGCTCCAGCTCCCTGCTCCCCCAGGAGCATCCCAGCACTGCAGCTGAGCAGAGGCACAGCAGGGTGTGTGTGCAGAGCTCTGGGGTGGCTCCTCCTCTGAACCCTCTCCCTGTTTTTGTGTTTTTGCAGACCCCAGCCTCACCACGTGTGCGGACCCCGGCGTGCCTCTCTTTGGGATGCAGAACAATTCCCAGGGATACCAGGTACTGCCAGGGCCGTGGGATCCCCCAAACCTGCCCGTGCCTGAGCCCTGGCACGGATCTGTGAGTCCTCCTGGGATGGTGTGATCCCAGTGTCAGACCTCGGGCTGTGTTTGTGCAGGATTAACCAGCAGTGCATTGTACATGATATTAATTGCTGTGCTAATTAGTAGTTATTGGTGTAATTACTCCTCACATTCCCGTTAATTTTCAGTCCAAATTCCGTAGGTGTTCCCCTTTATCTCAGCTCCCATACAGCAGGAAATCTGTGGAGTGGAGGGAGAGAACCCAAAGGGATGCCCTGAGGTGCTCCCTCCACTGCTGTCCCTGTGGGTGCCCATTCCCTGCTGGGACAGTTGATTCCATGTGGTTACCCCGTGCCAAGTGGATCCTTCAGCTTTGCTGCTAATTAGTTATCTTAATCCTGGGGGTTAATGAACTAATTTTAGGTTTTTAATTAATACCGAGACACTACAAGTCTGACTTTTGTCTGAGCTGGCACTGGAGTGGAGCTGCCTCTGGAGCTCCTGTGGGGGCTGGGGCAGAGTGTGACAGGGAAATGCTCCTTACAGGGGTCCAGGAGAGCTGGAAAAGGACTTTTCCCAAGGTCCTGGAGTGACAGGACAAGGGGGGAGTGGCGGACATGGAAAATTCTAGAAGCGCCTTTTTATCCCAGCGTGGCACTGGGGGAGTTCAGTGTTTCCTTGCTGTTGGAACAGGTGGGAAGCATCATCTTTTTCAAGTGCCAGAAGGGATACCTGCTGCAGGGCTCCACCACCAGGACCTGCCTCCCCAACCTGACCTGGAGCGGTGTCCAGCCCGACTGTGTCCGTAAGTCCTGGGAATGGCACAGGGAACTGGAGCCTTGAGCCAGGCTGGGGCTGGGGCTGGCTCAGGAGAGCTGGGAATTTGGGAGGGAGCTGTGAGAAAACGTATTCTTGGAGGAAATATATTAGATTTTAGGAAGGTTGGGAGATGAGGAAGAAATTCTCCCTTGGGAGGGTGAGGAGGCCCTGGCACAGGTTGCCCAGAGAAGCTGTGGCTGCTCCATCCCTGGAAGTGTCCAAGGCCAGCTTGGAGCAACCTGGGCTAGTGGAAGGTGCCCCTGGATGATTTTTAATCTCCCTTCCAACCCAAACCCCTCTGTGACTCTCCAACACTCTGTGATAAAAGGGAGCTCACTCCATCCCTTCTCTCCTGACGTTGCACCAGCAGCCACTTGTGATTTCAGATGAGATTTTCACTGCCTGTCCCTTCCTCAGAGGCACAGTTGGCAGGTGAAATGTTGTTTTGTGCTCCTGAAAGCCCATTTGGTGGCAGAGCTGTGAACTGGCCTCTGGGGGAGCAGGTTAACATTTAGCCAGGAGGGCTCTCCAGCAGAGCAGAGCTTCCCCTCCTCTTTAGGAACGTGCTGCTCTTCCCTTTAAGCTGTCCATCATCTCCCTGCTGCAGCAGAAGGAGCTTATTTTAATGTGTTTAAGTGGTGATACCCATCCTGGCCTCTGGGTCACAAGTATTAAAAGAGCTTTTTCCTCTCCCTCGTGAGGTGGTTTATTGGGGAGATGTTTTTCCACTAACAAGCCCTGTGGATGCTTGTTCTGTGAGCAGAACAACTGGGACACCCAACTTTAAATGCTCTGACATGTGGCATCAGGGGAGAGAGGAGGGTGGTTGCTCTGGAAGGAGCTAATGAGTGCTGGGGCTCCCAAACCATGTGAGCTCAGGTCACTCTTCCAGCTCTCTGGGGTTTATATTTCATTTTCTGCGAAGGGAGGGCGATGCTGGGACCTCCTGAGGGCTGCCAAGGGTTTGTTTTCAATTAGGAGCAGTTGGAGAGCTGCAGGAAGGACAAAAGCTGGCAAAAATTGGGGGTTGGAACTAGGTGATCTTTAAGGTCCCTGCCAACCAAAGCATTCTGTGAGCCTGTGAATCTGCAGTGTGGGGGAGAGGGAGCTTCCCTGCTTTGGGATTTACTTGTTTGGAGTCTCAGGGAAGGGGATGACACATTTCCAGCAGCAGCTGCTGGAGCAGTGTTGGCACGTGCTCTGGGAGCTGGACAAGCTCTCATTCAGCCTCTGTGGCCAAATCCTGAGAGTTATTGAGCAGTTACAGGGATTTCTGACCACTGCACACCCCTGAGGACTCGCTGGGTGATGCTGTGGGCAGCTGGGTGCACGTGATTAGCAGATTCCATGAAAAGGAGAGCTGTGGTGCCCTCACTGGAATCACTGGCTTAATTTACCAGCTCTTGGTGCCCTGCAAAGGCAGTTGCCAGCCTGCAGATACCCCTGGGACTCAGTTCTGGGCTCAGGGCTCAAAGGAAGGTGCTTTAACATCCTTTGGGTTTGGCTTTTTCCCCTAAAAAGGGGGGATGGCAGAACCTGATTTTCAGTTCATGGAGCTGAGTGAAGGATCCTCTGAGAGCTTTATCCAGCAAGAGCAATCCCAGCCATGGGAATCTTCCCATTAATTCACCTGGCTGGGAAGAATCCAGGCATAGCATTTCCCAGGGAGCAGAGAAAGCTGTTGGGTAAAAGCTCTTCCAGGAGGTTTTTGTCCCTGGTGTCCCTCTCTGGCCTCCCTGTGGTGTCCCTCATCCCTGTTTCCCTTGTCCCTTCCAGCTCACCACTGCAAGCAGCCAGAGACACCTTCCCATGCCAACGTGGGAGCTCTGGATTTGCCATCCCTGGGCTACACCTTGATCTACTCCTGCCAGAGCGGGTTCTACCTCACCGGAGGCTCCGAGCACAGGACCTGCAAAGCCGACGGCAGCTGGACAGGGAAACCCCCCATCTGCCTGGGTAAAAGCCCTGGGCAGGGGGTGCCAATGGGTCTGTGTGTGTGCCCAGGGGACACTGCAGCCCTCAGACCCCCACCAGAGCCCTGGGTTTGTCTCCTGGTTGTGGAGCCCGTGGGGCTTTGGTGTCCCGCAGAGGCAGTTTTTGGTCTGTGGATAAGACCCGGGCACTCAGTTCTGGGGTCTGGGGTCAGGGGTCAGAGGTGTTCAGAGCATCATTTGGGTTTGGTTTTTTTTGCCCTCGGAAGGGGAGGAAAATCAGAGCCTGGTTTTGGTGGGAGGTGGAGCCGAATGAAGGGTCTCTCCAGCCAGAGGATCCCCCAGAGCCACCTGAGGGGCTTCGCACGGGTGCTTTGGGTCTGGAAGCACCTTCTTTGTCCTTCACCTCACCCAGCTTAGGAGCAATAATGGTCTAACCTTGCCAAAGAGCTGTTTGGCTCTGGTGGAGGGTGGGAGCTCACCCTGGATCTTCCCTCTCTTCCAGCTGATGTCCGTCCCAGCGGGAGGCCCGTGGGCACCGCGCGGGACCCGCCGCTCGCCAAACTCTCAGGTACACACTGGGATCATTCCCGTGGGACACACAGCAGTGACCTGGGCAAATCCAGCCCTGCCCAGCCCTTCTCAAACCCAGATCCTTGCTGGGAGCAGCCCTTGTGCCCCACCCTGCCCGTGCTTCCCTGGAGAAGTTGTTCATCGACACCCACTGGGGCATTCCAGAGATTCCAGGGTTGGACACTCAACCCTTTTTTTTTTTTAATAGGTTTTGTTAGCTTTCCCTAATAAATTATTTTGGGGGTGGGATTCTTTTTAAAGCTTTCATGTTGTTTTTTTGTCAGAACAACCAAATTAAGGTCGTGGAGTCATTCATTCTCCTCTCCTTGGCTTCGTCCTCAGCGGTGATGGCACAGGGAGAGGGTGGGATTTGAGAGATTTAATTATGTATCTGTGAATTGAAAGAAAGAAAAATTCTTCTCTATTTTGATTTCTGAAAAAAAAAAAACTGGAAATCCATGGCAATGCTGCTGTTTTGGTGCATCCCCCCACCGCTGTGCTTTCCAGTGCCTGCGGATGTGTTCGCCAGGAATTCCCTGTGGAAAGGCTCCTACGAGTACCTGGGGAAGAAGCAGCCTGCCATGCTGTCTGTCACCAGCTTCGACCCTGCCACCAGTAAAGTCAATGCCACCCTGATAGACCACAGTGGTGTGGAGCTCCAGGTGTCTGGTGAGGACACGAGGTGGCCTCTCGTGGGGATTGACGCTTGTCCCGGGGTTGGTTGGTCCTGCTCCAAGGGGGTTTCTCTGCCCTCTCAGGCAGAAAGTCAGTGACTTCCACTCCTTTTGCAGGCATTTACAAGAAGGAAGATGTTCACCTGCTCCTCCAGGTTTACCAGGTCATGGGGCCAGTGGAGATCTTCGTCAACAAGTTCAAGAACGATAAATGGGCTCTGGATGGACACGTAAGTGGTGGGGGCACCTCGGGCACGAGATCCACCCACACAATTCCTCCTGGCGCTGTCACAGCCTGGCTTTGCTCTCCCTGGAGCTGAGGGATGACTCCCTGAGCTGGTGGCAGCATGAGGCTGCTCCAGTGACCAGTCCTTGAGGGGGACACGGGGCGCTTTTCCAGCCCGGGATGTAACACGGCGCGACAGCTCCTCGTGCTCCTCGTGCAGCTGTGTGAGGCTTTATTGCCCCGTGGCTTGAAATCCCTGCATCTCCCAGACAGCCCTTGAGGAGAAACCAACGTGATTAATTCCATTTTAACGTTTTATGTCTGCTAAACATCAAGCAGAAAGAGCTAATGGAGCCAAGTCCTCACCCCCCCGTGTGTCTGGGAGCTTCCCGTGCCCTTCAGAGATCCACTGGAGCTTGGCAGAAATGTGCATCTGCTTGACCCGTGGCCAGTGGTGGCCCAGAGCCTTTGTTCCCCCTCTGGGATCAGCAGTGTCTTGTGGAGTTTATTGCAAACAGGATTTTTTTGTTGTTTTCCCTCCTTTGAGCCGTGAGGGCCTCGAGCTGTCGGGCAGCGAGACGCCTCCCAGAGCACCACAGTTTTCCAGGGAATTAAATCGAATTAACTCCATGCCTGAGCTTGCAAAGGGCTGTGCTGAGATGGGTGTGAAAGCCCCAGGGAGGTGCTGGGCAGATGTGTTGATCTCCCCTCTCCTGTCACCTCAGGTCTCGTCGGAGTCTTCGAGCGGCACCTTCGTGTACCAGGGCTTCGTGAGGGGCAAAGGCTTCGGGCAGTTTGGCCTCCAGAGACTTGGTAAAATTCCTCAGATTGCTGCTTTTTCCCCTGGATTCCGAAAACTCTGCTCTGGTGGTGGTGGAGGGTTTCAAACAGAGGATGTTTCTCCTGTCCTTAATTTTCAGTGCTTCTGCTAAACCCGCCCTGGGTGGGAGATTGTGGGAGACAAAACAGCACAACAATGAAATTTGTAATGTAAAGCCTGTAAACAGGCTGCTGTTCAAAGACAGAAAGAGGTTTTGGAGCCACAAAAAGCACCTGGACAAAAAAAGAAACCATAGTTTTTCTCCACGTGGCCAAATTCTGACAGGCCCAAGCCCCGTTTCTGCCACAGAAAGTGTCCCCGTCACCCTTTCAGAAATCCCAGAGGCTCCTGAGGGATTTAAACAGACAAAGTTTAAGCCCCTAAATGTCTCTTAAAATGTGCTCTGAGCTTTTAATCTCTTCCTTGGGATTTTTGGGATATTCTCACCTTTATGGAGAATTAGGTGCTCGTTATTGCATTTCGAAGTCTCCCCTTAAAGCCCAACTTTATGCATCCAGGTTGGAACATTTTGGCAAGACAAATCTATTTACATCTCCCTTTAATTGCAGTCCTAAATAAATGATGCTGTCTAAGCTGGGCTGGATCTCCAGGCCATCCTTCATCTGCAGCTCAGCAGCTTTCAATTACCTTTTCCAGCACCACTTCCAGTTGCTGGTGGCACCTGGAAGGCCCCAGCAAAGCCCATTTTCTTGCAGTGCTGGTTTGAAATGTGTTCTTTTCCGCTGCCTTTCAGACCTCAGCATGATGGAAACGGATCCTGAATCCATAGGACACCACTTTGCATCCAACAGCAGCTCCGTGGCAGCCGCCATCCTCGTGCCTTTCATCGCCCTGATTATTGCAGGGTTTGTGCTTTATCTCTACAAACACAGGTGGGTTTTGGGGGGGCAGGAAACAAATTCGGGGGGGGCCTCTCAGAAACATGGAGCTGGACTTAAAATCCCACCCCCTTAGACCTCTTTTGATTCAGAAGGTGAAAAGGTAACGAAGCAAAGCCCCGTGGGGGGGTGAGGGTTTGGGAGGAGAGAGCAGTGAGAGGGTTTCTGACCATTAATAAGATTTGTGGCCACTTTAAGGAGGATGAAGCGAAGTAAATTCCATCCTCCAGCGCTCAAGCTGGCCTTGCACACGTTGTAAATTAGTATTTTCTCCTCATCAGGGCACTGCTGTGGGAGCTCTGCAGAGGGAGGGTGCCCAGGGTTGTAGCAGCACCCAGGAGCTGCTGTGCTGCAAATCCAGAGTCAGATTTGTCTGCCTCATCCCCAGGGGTTTACCCTCCTCAAAAGCAGCTCTCTCTTTCTTTTTCTTTCTTTTTCTTTCTCTTTCTTTCTTTCTTTCCTTCTTTCTTTCTTTTCATCCTTTCTTCCTTTCTTTCTTTTCTTCCTTTCTTTTCTTCCTTTCTTCCTTTCTTCCTTTCTTCTTTCCTTTCTTTCTTCTCTTTTTCTCTCTCTCTTTCTCCCTCTTGCCTTTTCTCCCTTTCTTTCTTCTGTCTTTCTCTCTCCATTTCTTTCCTTCCTTTCTTTCCTTCCTTTCTTTCTTTTCTTCCTTTCTTCCTTCCTTCCTTTCTTTCCTTTCTTTCTTCTCTCTTTCTCTTTCTCTCTCTCTTTCTCACCATTTCTCCCTTTCTTTCTTCTCTCTTTCTCTCTCCCTTTCTCCCTTTCTTTCCTTCCCTCCTTCCTTCCATCCTGTCTCCCTCTCTCCCAAGGCCAGGTTGGATGGGGCTCTGAGCAACCTGCTCTAGTGGAAGGTGTCCCTGCCCGTGGCAGGGGGTGGAACTGCAGGAACGGCCTGGATTTGTGTCAGGAACGTTTAGGTTGGATTTTAGGAAAAGGTTCTTCCCCCAGAGGCTGGTTGGGCACTGCCCAGGCTCCCCAGGGCAGTGGGCACAGCCCCAAGGCTGCCAGAGCTCCAGGAGGGTTTGGCTGATCCTCTGGGGCCGAGGGTTGGACTGGATGCTCCTTGTGGGTCCCTCCCCACTCAGGACGCTCTGTGACTGTGTGACCTCTGTGGGTTTGCTCTCCCCTGCTGCAGGAGAAGACCAAAAGTCCCTTTCAATGGCTATGCTGGCCACGAGAACACCAACGTGAGGGCCACCTTCGAGAACCCCATGTACGACCGGAACCTGCAGCCCACGGACATCATGGCCAGCGAGGCCGAGTTCACAGTGAGCACGGTGTGCACGGCAGTATAGCACCCACCCCCCCGTGGTGAGTGAGCTGGGGCACTGCTGGGCCCCCCTCTGGCACCCCAAAACCACGGCATCGTGGCCTGCTTGGCTTGGAAGGGACCATAAGGGTCGTGTCACTCCATCACCCTTTGGAAGCCAACCCAGGGACAAGCTGGCCTTGGACATCCCTGGCCCACTCCCAGGGATGAAGCAGCCACAGCTTCTCTGGGCAATCCCTTCCAGCCCCTCCCCACCCTCACAGAGAGGATTTTCTCCCCAGTATCCCACCTAACCCTGTTCTCTGGCACTTTTGAAGCCATGGGTCAGAGAAGCCCCCGGAGCTCCTCTGGGGTACCAAAGATCCCAAAAGACCTTGTGGTTCTTCCTGGGCCAGGATTTGGACTCAGTCCTTGTGGGACTGAGCTCGGGACATTCTGGTTCCAAGAGATCATCTCCACACGGGGCCAAACCCAGAATCCCAGAATCCCAGAATCCCAGAATCTGCCAAGTTGGAAGGGATCCACAAGGATCACTGAGTCCAACTCCTGGCCCTGCACGGGACCAGCTCTGGGTCTCATGTGCTGGCTGCTGGTTGGGAACCTCTTGGAGACCACTGGCCAAGCAAGTGCCAGTAAAACAGTGGTGAGAACAGTCCAAAGGGGAAGGAAGAGTCGGGTCTGTAAGAGGGAGCATTCCCTGGGTGACTCCTGATGGGATTTTGCTCAGGGATCAGGGATTTCAAAGTTTTACTGCAGAGAGACATCACTTCATGTCATAATCAAAAGCACCCTGTGGCCTGTAGAGCCCTTCCAGACTGGAATGTTCTCAGTTTAGGACAAGGAAGCCATTGCAGGCTCTCCCAGCATTTCTGGGTGCAATAACAGGCTGTTTGCTTTTCCTTCCCCCCCATCCCAGATCGCTCCGGGGTCGGCGTCTGGTGGATGATTGTGTTTCACCTCACTGGTCTCCATCCATCCATCCCCTGCCCGTCTCCCTCCTCCCAACCTTTTGCTGAGGCTGTGGAGAGGCTGCTGCACCTCGTTGGACTTTGTGGGACCTCCTGAGGCACCGCTGGGTTTGTCCTCTGTCGTCCTTCCCTTCCCGGGTCCGTCCTCTCTCCGTCCCGCCCGTGGATCACAAGCCAACCAAAGGTCTGCTCCTGCTCAGCTTCTGCCCTCCCACCCTGCCAGGGGGGCTCAGCCCAACTTCCCTGGGGAAGGAGAGCACCTGGGAAAGCTTTTCCAACCTGCTCCTGGTGGTGTGTTCCTGGAGGGAGCCCCCAAGTTTGGGAAGAGCTCGGGCAACAAAGGGGCAAAAGCGGGTTGTGCACGAGGTGCTGACTGGATTTATGGACAACACCAGGATGGGGAAGGACGAGCTCTTGTTCTGTCTGTGTTTGGGCTTGTGGGATATTTGTTTGTTGTTTTTTTTCTACCCCCCCAGGGCTCTGGCAGAGGAAGGGTTTTCAAATGGAACCTTCCCGACGGGAAAAGTGAAACTTTGGAAGCTTTTTCCCCTCTTCTCCTGTTTCATTTTCCTTTGGGCATCCTTGCTGGGGCTTTTCTGCCCCTGCAGCTCTCAGGGCTGGGGAGGAAACACTCCCCCTCTCCCTGGCTGCTGATCTGAGCTGTGTCCAAACCCCCTGACCAGGAAACCTCTGACAGACACCGAGGGACAAAAACCTCTTTAAAAAAAAGAACTCTTAACAAATCCTGATTTCCACCCCCAAAAGCCTTTGCCCTTTCCACATTGATCCTCCAAATGGCAACGCAATAAGGGTTTTAATTTCTCTCCAGAGCTGCTCCCTTTTATTTCCCAGGGGCACAGAGGTTGCCTTGGCTTTCAGGGGAGCAGATAAGGCAGCTTGACATTTCTCCTGCCTTAGGAGAGAACGAGGCTTTGGTGACTTTGGCCTCCTCTGATGAGGAGCAGAGCTGCTCTTGTTGATCCAGGCTTTGAGGCTGTTTGTTTTTGGGGCCAGGGGAGGCAGCAGTGGCATTTCCCAGGTGAGAAGTGAAATCCTGTGTCACCCAGGCAGCTCCCTCCTCCAGGAGACTCCAAGGGAAATCAGCATTAAACCTCCAGGGTGGTGTTTACATCCACGCTCTCCCATCCAAGCACTAGTTTTTTTTCCCCTTCCCTGATGTCAGCTGAGGTTCTGCCTAATGAAAACCACAGGGTAGGTTTGTTTTCTTTTTTTTTTCCTGGTTTGTTTATTCTTTTACTCTGTGTGTGTGTGCGTGTGTGTGTGTGTGTATATGTATATAAATATATATTATTTTTTTTACTTCTGTCTCTTATTCAGTGCTCTTAGAGTAAAGCAGCATTCTCCAGCCTCATGGCTGGACAGCCAGCCTGCCAAAAAAATAATGCCACCTCCGCTGCCCAAAGCAGGAAAAGGTGCTGGGATTTATCCCTGAGGGGTGGGAGAAGGAGTCAAAGCCCTGATCCCACGTGGGCAGGAGTCAGGGAGGTGCTGCCCACGTGGGGTTGGGCAAACAGGGAGCCCAGGGCAGCTCTGGGTCGTGTCCTGCAGCAGGGAGGAGCTCCCAGAAACCCAGGGAGAGGCTTCCAGGCCTGAATTCCATGGGCTGTCCCTCTGGGGGTTCCCCCAGCTCGCAGGACAAGGATCCCAGAAGGGTCAGGGACAGAGGGGACCCAGCTGGGCTGGGGGGACACTCAGGTGTGGGGCCAAGGCTCGTCCCCCCTCGATCCATCAGCTGGGCAACCCCAGGGAAGGCAGAGCTGGGAGATTCCCGTGGATCCCGGGTTTGCTCCTGCAGGGAAACAGCTGCTTCCTGCCTCCAGCTGGGCTCTCCTGTCCCACCCTTGACCCCCAGGTCCCTTCCAACCTAAATTATCCCGGGATTCCTGCCCCTGGCCAAACCCACCCCCTGCTCTGTCCCTGCTGCTCCAGCCCCCGCCGTGTCCCAGCTCCTCTCCCAGCGCCCAAAATCCCAACCCCTCCACTGGGATCCCTCCAGGTTCCTGTCCCTGAGCTCCAGAAAAGCCTCTCCTTGGCTGGGAAGGTGCCAAACACCCCGAGGGGGCTCTGTGTGGGGAGCAGGGATGGCCACACATAACGCACACACGTTGGCTTTCCAGACCTTCCCAACTCCCTCTCATCCCGTGGAATAACCAGGAGAAACTTCAAGGTGTGTAAAAAATAAACTCAAATTATTTAAACACCCGTGCAGGGAGAGAGGGGAAGCTCTGCCTAAACAAGACTTGCTGCTTTTGACCCATTAAAGTACCTTTTTCTGCTGTTGCCCAAGTAGCAAAGGAAGTGGAAGGGGGTTTATCCCGATTTTTTTTGCAAGCTGGCTGGGACCTGATGCGTGACATTTCTCCATCCTTGTGCCCAGAGGACTTGCATTATGTTAAAAAAAAAAAAAAAAGAAATGAAAAAGGTAAAAAAATAAACAAAAAAGAAAAAAGAAAAAAAAAGTAAAAAAAACACAAAAGGAAGAAAAACTAACAAAAAAAAAAGAAAAAAATCCCTCTTTTGTACAGAGATATATTTTTATGAATCAGAAGTTTGTACAGTTAAAAAAACCCAATGTAAATGTTTTTTCATTATTGTAGTAAACAGTAGTGGAAGATCAGCTTTTTTTTGTAAATGTAATAAAATGTATAAATCTGGTTTACATAAAAGTGTACATATGTAATCTATACATACACCTGGCTTGTCTGCAGTATATACAATTTAATTTATCTGTCTCTGTATATGAGGCTTTTCTCTTGTGTTCAGGCATACTTTGCTGACTTTGAAAGCTATTTTAAATTTTTGACTTAAAAATAAAATATAAATTTTTGCATTGCTTTTCTTACATTTCCTGGTGCCTTTTTCCTGGAGCTGCCAAAGGCTTTTTTTTTTCAGGATCCTCTGGATTCTCACACACACACATGAGGTTCCTGATATTCCAGCTGCTTGGAAGCACATCCCAAGGAGGAAAACATGGAAGATTGAGGCAAGACCAACCCTTTTCTCCCCATCACCACTGGGGAATTCAGGGGAATTCAGCCTGGATGTGGAGGCAGCAGCTCATCCGTAGGGAATGAGACCAATCCAACATCTGCCACCCCCCTCCCTGCCCTCCCTCTCCCATCCCACCTCTCTGCACTGATGGGATGTGATGTTATTCCAGCTGGGATGGGATGTTATTCCAGCTGTGCTCCCCCCCCTCCAGCCAGGAATGGATGCTCAGGCTGTTGGCAGCTCCTGCCCCTCTGTCAGGGCAGATCAGCAGAGCCCCCTTTGAAATCAGGGGCTCAAAGGGCCTCCAAGAAACAAAGGAAAAACCCTGAAATGAGGATTTAGTTCTCAGCGTCGCTGTTAACTAAAAATAAAAGAGCCCAACTGCCCTGAGTGGGTGATGTCCCTCCTAATCCGGGGCTGGGGCTGAATTCACACGGAAAATTAACTTGGCAGGGAATTTTCTGGTTGGAAAAGGACATTACAAATGTGTCTCCCATCAGGAATTACGAGGGGACCTGAGATGGCCGAATTTTTTTGGTGTTAAACAGGTAAATTGTCACTCCTGGTTCCCTCAGTGGGGTTTGGGCCATGGTTTTGCTCTGAGCTGCATTAAAACCTCAGCACAGGGGTCCCACTCTGGTGGTCCTGTGACACTGTAACACCTAATGAGGTGTTATTAGTTAATTAATTAATAAGTTACCCCTGCAGTGCAGGGCAGGAGTCACTTCACTGCACCCCAAATTGGAAGCAGCAGCTTTTTTAGGGCTTTAGGCTCCCTGAGGAAGAAGGACACCCCAGGACACCCCTATGGACACCCCAGGGCAGCTCTCTGGGTGCTCCCTCCACATCCCAGGCCAGGAATGATGCTGCTGGGAGTGACCTCATGGAGGGGGGGCAGCCCTGTGCCCCCCATCCTGCCTCCCCTCCTCTGTCTGAGACCCCAAACGAGGGGTTTGGGAGCTCAAAAGCCCCAGGGCTGGAGCTCACAGTCCCTGTGGGGTGGCTGCTGGAAATCAGCTTTTCCCCTCCTCCCCTGTTCCCCTGCAGGGTGAGGTGACCTTGGCTGTCAGAGATGCATTAAAACCTGGTGCTGCTGCTCCACCACCACATCCAGAGCTCAGCCAAGTGTTTTAACCCTTTGGAGCTGTGGGATTTGGCTCTTTGGGACATCAAATCTTTGTTTAGGACCTGACTTGGCCAGGCCAGGAGGTCTGAGCCTGGTTTTGAGCTCCCTGAGGTCCTGTAGCCACCCTGGTTTTGCATTTGGAACTTCCAGGTGCTCCTGGCTGTGGAAAAACAGGCTGTAAAGAGCCTCCAGGGCATCATTTGGGGGGGTCACGGGCACTTAAAGCCCCTTGGAAAAGTTGCCACGAGTTCTTTGGGAAGCTGGGAAGGTGAGGGACGTGCAGAAGGGATGCAGGGAGCAAAGCAGGAACGATTCCCAGGATTATTCTGCATCTCCTTGAGCCCCACGGGGATAAAAACACTTGGTTTTATCCCCTGGGAAGGTGATAAATTCCTCCCCTCCTCCTCTGAGCAGGTGAGTGACAGAAAATCCATCCCAAGCACAGGTAAATGAGCAGCACCCACAGGAAATCTGCACCAAAAATGAGGCCCCAAGTAGGACATGGGTTTGTATTATTCAGCTGGGATTTTGCAGCTCTGCAGGAGGAGGGAACTTCCCGGAACTTCAGAAACGTTCCGAGCACTAAGAGGAGAATTTATAGTTCAGTGCTAGGGGGGAAAATGCATAATTCATTCTCCAGACTTTGGAAGAGCTGGGAAAAAAAAGTGGGGAAAAAAACATAAAAATAAAGAAAAAAGTGGCATTTGATTTCTCCTGGTGGTGGGAGCTGTCCAGGTGCTCTTCTTCCTCAAACCTCTGCCAGTCTTGCTCTGACATTTACATTTCACCCTGGAATTATTGAATAATTCTTATTAGGGTATAAGCTAACAAAAAAAACCCACCAAGCCATCAAGGGGACAACAAGGATAAGCTTGGAAAAATGGGATTCAGGGGTAGGAACCAGCAAGCTGGAGGTGCTGGGACCCCCCTCAAACCAGCCTGAAATCCTCCTGGAAATGCTCTGGGATGTAGGACTGTTAAACAGGTTTGCTGAGCTGAAGACACTTTACCCTCCAAGCTACTTTATATTCTTATTTCTGTGTTGACACATCTTTCTCCCCCACTCCAATCCAGCCTTAATTTCCAACTGTTAATCAGGCAAAGCACCGTGGCACGATGGTCTGTAATTAAAAGAATTAAAGCCACACCTGAAGAATGCAGATGTGA